TTAAAAAAAAAAAAAAAACCATGGCAATGGCATTGAAGAAATAGGACTTCGCCAGGAGCCCTCTCAGGTCCTTTCTTCCTGCTGTGTTGCCCTGTGTGGCCAGCCACTTATGCAGGAAAGGGAAGGAGAGGGCCAGTCCTAGTTCCTTCTCCTTTCAGCCCTTCCATACTCATTAGGAAGGGAGGTGGGGAGGACTGGTAGGACACATGCATTATCAAGAAATGAAGCAAGGGGCAGGTGTTGTGGCACCGTGGGTTAAGCCGTGGTTTGGGATGCCTGCATCCAGTACTGGAATGCTTGTTGAGTTCTGGCTTCCAATCTAGATTCCTGCTACTGTGCCTGGGAGGCAGCACATGATGGCCTAAGTACCTGGGCCCCTGCCACCCACACAGGAGACTCAGAGTTCTTGGCTCCTGGCTTCAACCTGGCATATCCCTGGCTGTTGGGGCCATTTGGGGAGCAAGCCAGTGGATGGAAGATCCTTCTTTCTCTCCCTCTTGTTCTATCTCTCTCTGCCTTTCAAATAAATAAATTTTTTTTTTTTTTTTACAGGCAGAGTGGACAGTGAGAGAGAGAGACAGAGAGAAAGGTCTTCCTTTTGCCGTTGGTTCACCCTCCAATGGCCGCCGCGGCCGGCACGCTGCGGCCAGCACACCGCGCTGATCCGATGGCAGGAGCCAGGAGCCAGGTGCTTTTCCTGGTCTCCCATGGTGTGCGGGGCCCAAGCACCTGGGCCATCCTCCACTGCACTCCCTGGCCACAGCAGAGAGCTGGCCTGGAAGAGGGGCAACCGGGACAGAATCCGGCTCCCCAACCGGGACTAGAACCCGGTGTGCCGGCGCCGCTAGGCGGAGGATTAGCCTAGTGAGCCGCGGCGCCGGCCAAATAAATAAATCTTTAAAAAAATGAGAGAAATGAAGAGAGCTGACTTAGTTTTCCATAGTGTCTCAGCTCTGGTAAGAAATGCATACGCGTGTCTGAGGTCTAAACAAAGATTTGGGCATTTCCCACATTCCCAACATGAGTGACATGCTCTTACTTTGCATTTAAAGCTACCAAGGTATAATATGATGATGAAAGATAAGAGTCACACTCATCATCTCACATTTTCCTTTTCTTATAACACTAACAACAGAACAAGTCTGGAGAGAGACCAGAAAGGATAGGGGCACAGTTTTATATTTTATACCTTTCACGGCACTTTTTTTCCCTGTCTTCCAGAGAAAGTGCACTTGCATTTCGTACTGAGCCCTGTAAACGCTCAGCCCACCCAGCCCTCCGCACTCACCTCCCCCCAGGCTGCGGCAGGGGGCTCCACAGGCGGGTAGAATTTGGGCAGGTCCCAGGCGATCTTGGTCATAAACCACTTGAAACTCTTGCAGTTGAGGGAGCTGCGGAGCTTTTTCTGCGCGGCCACGTCGCCCGCGGAGAGGTGGCGGTACTCAGGCCGGCGCTGGTAGATGTACTCGGCGTATTCGTCCATCCACACTTCCGCCACTCGCTTAAGGTTCTGGGGGTGAGAGGCAGACAGAGGGGCCAGGTTCACTGAGGGGCAGAGGTCAGCAGGTGGGGTGCAGAGGGTGATGGCAGGTTGAGGTCAACCTTTCTTATTTTACATTGTATCAAAAATGTGCCATGCTTTTTGGCTTTCTTTAATTCTCTATTTTTTTGAAAGGCAGACAGGGAGCCAGTGCTGTGGCCTAGCTGGTAAAGCCGCTGCCTGTAGCGCTGGCATCCCATATGGGCACCAGTTTGAGTCCTTGCTGCTCCACTTCCAATCCAGCTCCCTCTAATGCACCTGGCAAAGCAGCGGAGCATGGTCCAAGCACCTGGGACCCTGCACCCATGTGGGAGACATGGAAGAAGATCTAGCTCCTGGCTTCAGCCTAGCCCAGCCTTGGCTGTTGGGACCATTTGGAGAGTGAACCAGTGGATGGACGACCTCTCTCTCTCTGTAGTTCTGCTTTTCAAATAAATAGCTACATCTTAAAAAATAAAAATAAAAAAAGGCAGACATGTACTCTCTCTCACACGCACAGAGAAGGAGAGGCACATTGAGCAAGCAAGTAAGCTATCATCTGCTGGTCCACTCTCCAGGCGCCCACAACAGCCAGGGTTAGGTCAGGCCAAAACCAAGAATGAAACTCAGTCTGTATCTCCCAGGTGCATGGCAGGGACCCAGTTACTTGAACTATCATCTGTTTCCTCCCAGGGTGTGCAGCAGCAGGAAGCTGGAATTGGAACCAGAACCTGGACTCAAGCCCAGACGGGCACCCCAAGTGGTGTGTTATCCACTGTACAGATGCCTGCCCCAAGGCCGTCTGTATTTCCATTTATTATTTATGCATGGTTTGCAGAATTTACAACTCACAGCTGAGTGGCACACTACTGGTGCTCTGACTGCCCGTTTCCCACCTCTACCACCAATTCTCCTTTCAGGAGCTGCCCCTTCATGTGGCTGGGGGAGGGTACAGGACCTCGACAGCCTAATGTCAGTACAGACATCCCTGGACACAGGGGTTGGCTGGCTGTGAGCATGTGACCTAAGCCAACCCAATCAGAACCAGTAGGCATTATGAGCCTTGGAATTTTCTCTGGAACTATTGGGATGAATTTCTTTGGTTCTGATTGGACTGCAAGGTAAAAAGCCAGCCAGTCTGATGAAGACTGAAATGTGTGCATCATTCTGATAGAAAGCACTCATTCCATCTGCAGTGACGATGGCCTCCAGGGACACCTGACGGCACAGCTCAGAGCTCAGAAGAAACCCTGCTCCAACGTCCTTCAGCCCCTGGCTGCTGCCTCCCCACACCAACTCTCCCAACACACCCATCTGATCCTCGTCTGACCCCCAGGTTACCACTGTGTCCCTACTGCAATGCAAATGTCCCTGTGAAGGGGAAAGGGAGCCAGCCTGCAGGCTGTCATTCACGCCCACGTGCGAACGACGCACTCTGGGAGCAGAAGGGAACTGGCTGGCAAATGCTTCCATGCTTTCTGTAAAAAGCCCCAGAGTAATATTTCAGGCTCTGCAGGCCATATGGCCTCACCCTCCACGAAGCTATAAGCAGCCACAGCCGCTATATAAATGAATGGGCGTGGCTCTGTTCCAATAAAACTTTATGGACACTGAGATCTGATTTTCATTGTGTCACGGAATATTCCTCTGCTTTTGATGTTTCCCCCCAACTATTTAGAATGTGGAAGCCAGCCTAAGCTCCTGTCAGGCGGAGACAGTTTATCACCTGAATGACTGGGAGGAAGCCGACAGGAGGCAGACCCCACCCCCACTCCCGCCCAGCTGGAGACAAACTCCTCCAGCCCTCCAATCTGCTGGCTCTGAGGGCAGGAGCAAGAAGCTCCTGCATTTCCTTGCTGCTGCCTGGTTCTCCCCAAGTGCTACAGAGGCCACAGCGGGGCAGACAGGACCTCGGAACCAGGGTTCTCCCCACCAGGCCCTGCACAGCGAAGGCTCTGTGCCCACGGGAAGCTGGAGGCCCAGAGACCTGAACACTGAGAAGCACAGACTTTGCTCTCCCGTGGCAGGCTGGTCCCCCACATCCTCTGGCTCCCTGTCCACTCTTTAGCATCATGGGAAAGCTGCTGCAACTCACTGCTCTTAAAGGGCTAAATAACATAATGTCTTAATCTTAATTCGTGTTTTAATTACTATTTGAATTAATATTGCATTCTTTTTTAAATTTTTAAAAATTATCTATTGGAAAGGCAGAGAGACAAAGAGAGACCTCCTATCTGTTTGTTCACTCCCCAAATTCCCCCCAACAGTCCAGAGCTGGGTCAGGTGGAAGCCAGGAGCCAGGAGAAATCAGTCTGGGTCTTCCTTGGGGGTGGCAGGGACCCAACTACTTCAGCCATCATCTGTCTCCTGCCTCCCAGGGTGCACATCAGCAGGAAGCTGGAACTGGGAGCAGAGCCAGCATTTAAACCCAGGCATCATGAGACAGGATATGGGCAGCCCAAGCAGTGTCTGAACCGCTGTGCCAAACACCTGCCCTGATACTGCATTCTGAGAATTTCTAGACATAGCTTAATAACCGTTTCTCCGAGATCCCAACCTTTTGTGCAGTTGACTGTTTGCAGCCAAGGAAAGGACTTCACATTTGCTTCCCTTCTACCTCCCCTTAGGATTTTCACAGGCATCACATGCTTCATCCCCTACTCTAACACCTCTCTGGCTCCGAGTCCCAGTCCTGTCTGCATTCATTGTGCCTGTGTTACAGAGACTAGCTGGATCCTGGGAAAAGCCTCCGCTTTGGTTTCACCAAGTCTGAGAGGGTGCCTGTCACTCTGCCTTCCCTAAGGGTCCTTTCCCAGAGGTAGAGACCAGAAAGATCTGAGCAAGTTCAACACACAGAGAAAGCAAGGCTGGCCACCTGTTCCTGAGGTGGGTAAGCGGGTGAACCACAGGTGTCCATCAGTCTGCCCTGCAGTCTGCACAGTTTCAGCTTCCCTCTTTCTTTTTAAATAAAGATTTATTTATTTGAGAGGCAAAGTAACAGAGTGGGAGAGAGGGAGGAGAGAGAGAGAGAGAGAGAGAGAGAGAGAAAGGTCTCTCATCTGCTGGTTCACACCCTAAATGGCCACAACAGCCAGAGCTGGGCCAGTTGGAAGCCAGGAGCCAGGAGCTTCTTCCAGTCTCCTACGTGGGTGCAGGGGCCCAAGCACTTGGGCCATCCTGTGCTGCTTTCCCAGGTACTTTAGGTGGGAGCTGGATAGGAAGTGGGGCAGCTGGGATATCCATATGGGATGACAGTGCCACAGGTGGTGACTTTCCCTGTTAAGCCACAGCATGGGCCCCTCAGCTTCCCTCTTAATCTGGCTTTCTCAGAGCTCTGAGACTACCTCTCCGCAAATCTATCAAGCAACGTTACAGGAGATACCAACCTAGAAGGCTTAGGATTCAGTAGTTAAAAAGACTGAGCAAACATTTTAAAGAGGATGCAGCAAAGAAAGGCCACAGGTACTCATTTCGGGCATCTTTGTGGTTCTGCCAAACTATGTATGGTGAGACCTCGCAGGTCACAGGGCTCACAGAGGAGAGCCCGGCAGGAGGCAAGGATCGTGAACCAGCTCACAGCCACACGCAGGACACCGACTCAGCACAGCCAGCAAAGGGCTATGCTGAATGCCCAGGCATGGAACTCAGACAGGACCCTGAAACACACTTGGCAGTCTGCAGTGTTCACAGTGATGCTGACCTGATCCTCCCAATGGCAGCCACCACTGACGGAGCGACTGCTCCATGCCAGGCACCTGTCACATCTAAACAGGTTTGCCTTCTGGCTCCTGTGGCTGAGGGTCTCCGTGTTATGCTGTCTTCATCACTAATCTGGGGGGAAAACAACAGATAAGAACCAATTAAGACAAGCACGGGAGGCGCTCTGCTTTGGTCTGCATCACTGCAGTTCGCTATTATCCACTGAATTAATGTATGCTTTGATAAACAGTCTCTGGTGTGCAGACAGCTCTGCACAGGAAAGGGAGGTCCTGGGCTTGGTTCTGCTCAGGTGTCCCTTGCAGCTGCAAAGGCCTCAGTCTTGGGCTTCCTTACACACTGCGCGCTGCTGTCCTGTCCGGAACGTTCCTCGGAGGCCTCCAGGGGTATCTCACAAGACAGTCCGCACCGGCGGCTTCACAGGCTCAATCAACAACTCAACATATCGCCCTACAGGTCTATCCGAAGTGCTAGCGGCTGGTGAGGCTGCGTTAGCAACGGCTAACACTAGAGGGCGCTGCCGGCTCTCCTTTCCTTCAAGGCTGGCCCTCAAAGCAGCCAGCGTCGTCGCGGCGTGTCCAGAGCTCAGCTCCCACCCACGGATGGAGCCCAGGGAGACGCAGAGCCTCTTACGGCCTCTTACGGTTTTCCTTTTAAGACACAGGACGCCGGCACTCCTCGACCCAGGAGCGACAGTTCTGTGCGTCGAGACTGTCAGTTGAGGCAGGAAGAGGCGGTGATGGGGTGAGAGGCACCTTGGACTTGATGCCAGACCAGACTGACTTGCCGCAGGAGTGGGTGGTGGGGCATGTTCCCCCAATCCTCTCTGACGCTCTCTCTACCCTTTGGGGACTCTCCCTCTGCTTCAGTTTTACTTTTGTGGTCACTTTAATTATTTTTTTCCTCCAAGACATTAATTCAAAAGAAGAAGAAAAAAAGTCTTCCTAGCTAACAGATTTCCATTTGTAGCCAGTGGCTAATGCAATGCAAGCAATAATTGATACAAAGCATTTTCAGGCAGTGAACTAATTTGATACAGTTTTTGTCAATGAAAGTGGTAAGGTGGTGGGGAGAGGAGAAAGACATATATTAACCCTTTCTACCCCAGGGACTCTGGAACACCTTGTCACAGGCACTGGCCAGCACAGCCCACTGCCTGTGTTACCATTTACACCAACACGTGTCTTTGAACCACTCCTGCTCTGACTTTGTTTCCTTGAGCTTGGTCCTAAGTATATGTCTGTGAAGCCCCCAAGTTTGCCACGCTAATACCTGTTAATTCCTAATCCACATGAATTTAAACACACGACAATGAAAAATGTCTACCACCTAGCTTGGCCTCATCCGTCACGCTTTGGGAAGCTGCAGCATCTCCTTCATCCTCCTGGCAATGCTGAGTGGAAAGAATCAGCTCCCCTTTAGGAACTCTTCACACTGCTTTGGGGATGTAAATTAGCACAGCCACTAAGGGAAATGGTATGGGACTCCACAGAAAACTAGAAATAAAACTGTCCTATGATCCAGCAATCCCACTACTGGGTGTCGATCTACAAGATGTGAAATCCCATGCTCCACCATGCTTACTGCAGCACTGTTCACGATAGCCAAGATGCAGACTCAACCAAGGTGTCCCTCACCAGATGGCCGAAGAAAATGTGCACAGACACACAGTACAATAGGTTCCACCATAGAAAGAATGAAATGCTGCCATTCGCAGCAAAATGGGTCGACCTGGAGTGAAAGAAGCCAGACCCAGAAAGACAAGTACCGCATGTTCTCCCCAAAGACCTGCACTGAAAAAACCCGGAGCTCGTTTAGAACACAGGACAGTGATCACCAGAGGCTGGGGTGGGGTGGGGTGGGGGTGGGGAACTGAGGACCCCATCAGAGTTAGATGGAAGAAGTCCCTGCAGTCCATACAGCCCAGTGGGGAGGACAGCTCACAGTAACCCCAGCAAAGAGGACCTCCAAGGCCCCAGTCCTAAAGTGAGGACAGGGAGGGGGAACCGTGATTACCCTGGCTGGATCAGCACATGTCCCACACCTGTGTTGAAGCGTCACACAGTAGCTTGTAAATATGTACAACTGTAGGTGACAATACAGCTACTGCAGAAACAGCCCAATGACAACTGTAGCAGCAGCGGCAGCAGCAACACAAAATGAGCTCCCTGGAAACCAAGGAGGAAACAGGCTCTGAGGAGCCAAGCAAAGCCCCTGAGTTGGTACTGCCAACTAAGTGATTAAACAATGCTTTTCAACAGACTCTCACCCGGAGAATGGGGGCAGCTTCACCCAGTAGGGACCACCCAGCCTGGGAGCCCAGGGGGCCTCAGTGCTGCGGATGGGCCAGGGCCGACCCCTTTCATCCCCTCCTCCCCCTGGAAAGCCACCACCTTACCCGGGCCAGGCTGACTCCAGCGGGGACCTTGTAGGGCACATACTTCCTGTAGATATGGCCCACCCTGGAGCAGGGGATGTCCTCCATACGGCCTCCACACATCCACACCATTCAAGGAGAGGAGGAGAGAGGGTGATGCTTCAGCCACTGATTCACTCATTGTCCCCTTAACAGCCAGCTCTCCTAGTGGGATCGGGGAAAGCATGGGGCGGGCTGTCAGCTAAAGCCTTGGTCACAGAACCCAAGATGTGGGAACAACAGCAGCAGTAAACACAGCCCACGGCAGCCAGTGCTTCTTGCTGCCGAGCACTGCTGAGGGCCTCGCGTGCGGAGCGGCACTTCAGCCCCATCAGAAAGCCTGTCAAGGTGGCAGTATCGCAGAAACCGAGTCTCAGAGAAACTCAGCAACTTGTTGGAGGGCTCCGAGTTAGTAAGCGGTGGAGCCACTTGCTGACTGCAGAGTGTAAGTGCTAAACCACTGTGGATGCGCAGAGCCCTGTGCTGAGAAGTCCAGGTAGCGCCAGGAGCTGAGAGGGGAAGTCAGTGGTGACAGCACACTGATGTCTGTCAGGGTTATGAGTGGGATGGGGGAGGGGCTACAGGCTCGGTGGGTTTACTGACCCTGGCATTAGATCCCACAGCCCTCCTGGATCTCTGGGCCTCTTGCTGGGCTCCCTGGAGCAGCTCCGTGGGCCTCTCCCTACCCTCTCTGCAGTCAGGATATTACACTGTGCGACCTGGTGTTTCTCCTCCCGTCCCTGCCTCCCAGGCAGGAATACTTGGCATCACAAGGAGCTCCTGGGTTTGAACGTGTGCTGTTGTGGCAGCAGTTAGGGATTTTTGGCAAGTCTAAGCAACACTGACCCTCCAGAGAGAGAGCTTTGCTCAAAGCTCGTCACTTCTCCAGGCCTCAGCTGCCGTGGGTGCAAAGGAGAAGCACCGCAGGGCTGGGGGCGAGAAACTGCACGGGAAGTGCTCAGCAGCATTGGCACCTACCAGGGTGCGTCACAAAATCTGTGGGAAGATGGAACTCAGGATAAGCATATTTGGGGGCAGTTTTTGAAATCCATGCAGTTTCTTCACCATATGCACTCTGTGAACTTTTTAAAGTGCCCTCATTATCCTGATTGTTAGATATAACAATATTAATACAGATACTACAATTCACACACTCAGCTAGTATTTATGGCAAACCTGCTATGTGCCAGACACTGTGCTGGGGACACATGGTGGTGAAAAGTCATTCCTGGCCCCTGCTCTCGTGGAAGGGGCATGCAGTGACCAGCTTTTCACACAGCCCCTGATGAACCTACATTCCAGTCAGTACCTGTGCCCCTGTGCTGGTGGCCCAGAGGAGTCACAAGAGGGCTAGCCTCGTAACCAACAGGACATTGCAGAAATGTTGATCATAAAAGACACTGTGGCTTCCGGCCTTCCCTCCGGGATCACTTGGTCTGGGGACACAGCTGCCACGTTTGAGGACACTTGGGCAGCGCTATGGCAAGGTCCAGCTGGGGTGCGTGGAAGCACGGTCAACAGCTGTGACAACAGTCATGCCAGGAGTCACCTTAGACGTGATGCCCTGTCGCTGTCCAGCATGCAGATGACTACGGCCCTCGCTTGTATCCTGACTGTAACTGCAGGACCTAGCACACCAGGCCACTCCCGAGTCCCTGACCCGCAGAGGCAGCAGGAGATAACAGGTGTTGGCTGGGCTGAGACGCACGTTGCAAGGTCACTGCTCCATGGCAGCAGGTACGGAACACAGTTTCAGATGAGGGTGTGTGCTGCAAGACAGGCAAGCAGAGCCCCTGGAGGGACGCACGGTGCTGACGTGCGGGAGGCGACTTTCCCCTCACTGGCCAGGCAATGCCTCACTTAGGAGGGCGTATTTGAGGTGGGAATTAAATCATGAGAAGGTAAAAGTAGCAGTGATCTGAGAGAGAAAGAACAGGTGGAGAGAGGGCCTGTGTAAAGGGCCTGGGGCAGGGCCACGCTTAGCAAAATCATACACAAAGAAGGCCAGAGGCCTGGAGCAGAGGGAGCCAAGCCAAGAGCAATGGGAAGGCAGGGCCTGGAGGCAGGTGAGGGCTCTCCTAAGGTCTTACAGGCCTGAAGAAGGAGGTTTAAGGATGTTTCAGACAAGGCCTTCAGTGAGGGAGCGGACCTCATATGGTTTCTATTTGACAAAGGCGACTCTGCCTGTGGAGTGGAGGAGGAGACCGGCCTGCCAGGTGCAGGCTGTGGGGAGAGGCCTAGGAAGCTCTTGCAGCATCAGACACCCCAGCCAGAGTGGCATGGGACAAGCTGGGGGCTGTAGCAATGTGGGACACATGTGGATTTGGGGTTAGTCTTGCTACCCCATCCTCTCATCTGTGGAAAGAGGGGTGGGGATGGGGACTCCTCTAGCCCTAGGAACCCTGCTCTGTCTGTATGACTTCAGGGTACACTGGGGATCATACTTCACATCCTGATGAACTCAGGGGCTCCAGCAGGCTACCCTTCCACTCACATCTAAGGGTCCTTGTGCCCTGTGACCTCCTGCTGTCCCCATCTCTAGCCCCCGTGTACTCTGTCCCGGGCTTCACAAGAGGGGCTATGCTTCGGGCAGCAATTAGAGGAAGTGCTGCCTGGAGAAATGCAATTATGCTCTGATCTTGGGGGAGAAAAAAAAAATCGAGCAAGTCAATAGAACAGAACATTGGTCTCGAGATAATGGGCTCCTGATGGTAGATTAATGTCAAGGCCAAGCCAAGAAGTTTATTTTCAAAGCAGGAGATATTGATCAGGCGCCAACATCCCATAACAATAACTCTTCCTTTATACAGAGTGATTGATGTGGAAGTGATGCTTTTGTCTGGCGGATGTTGCCCAGGTTGCTGCTGGGCTGCCCTCCACCTCTCTGGTGGCAGAGTGGGGCTGAGCAGGTGGGGGATGCCTTGCCCTGTTCTATTTTTGGGCATATCTGGGTGGTTGACCAGGCCAGCATCCAGCTCCCTTGACTCCGTATTAAACTCGCATTAGCTAACAAGGCTGTGTCTCCAGCTTTGCCTGGCAGGGGAAGCTTCCTTTTTCAAATGCATCATCAATTTCCAAATCCTTCTCTTTGCTGAAATCTCTGGTTTCTTTGGCCCTGTCCATGCTGGCCACTAGCTGAAGGATCCAGAAGGGACCAAGGTGACCTTGATCTGTCAAGAGCTTTGAGGCAGCCACAGTGCCCTAAGATTCCCGGGATGCTTGGAGCCCAGGCTTGGGAGGCTGGGTTTATGCCACAGCTTCCTTGCCCAGGATGGGCTGTGCTGGCAGCTGACTCAGGGTCTGAACTTCCTCCAGAGGCAGACAGCTGCTTAGATAAAGCAGCTGCCGATCCGATCCTGAGTCCCCCGGGAGTTTACCAGCTTCTCACAGTGGCTCCTGGCCACCCAGAGTGCATGTGACCACGGTGGCATCCCAACGGGGTGCACTCCCTCCTCTATCCCACTGCCCTCTTGCTCTCCATGTCCCCCTACCCCGGCACCCCTTCAGCCCTTCCCAGAGGCTCCTTCCCCTGCTGGAGTGCTCTCTGCTCCACCAGCCAACCCTCTACCTGGCTACTGCCTCCTCAGGAGCTTCTGTCACCTGTAACCCTGGGCTCATCACCCTTTTACCTGTCCCCTCCCCTCCATGTGCTTTTCCTGCTTTGTTTTTAATCAGAAGTGCAATTTTTATTATCTATGTGGCTACATCCCAGGTCTGATCTCCCAGTTCTGGGCATCTGCTGTTTCAGCCTGCCCAGGGCACCTTTTGGGGGCAGCCTTTCCAACCGCTGCACCTGGGGCCCCGTGACCCAGGCTTCCGAGCTGCAGCGCCCCAGCCTCCTGGGCCCTGCAGCTGGAGTTCACAACGGGGTATTGCTGAAGTCATTATGCCAGCTGGTGGTGCTTGACTTGAGAGATGGTCACATGCTTTGCTTGGGGACAAGGAGAAAAGGACACCGTGCTGCACCAGCCAGGGGCCACCTCTGTCACTGCATGGTAAGGGTGGGCCTGCTGGGGTGCTTCCAGCACTCAGGAGAGCAGTGCCCAAGTCAGGAGACAGACACTGCTTTGAGTACCTGGATTCAGTCGTGCTGAACAGAGGCCATCCCCTTAAACTTAGCCACAGCCCGTTTAAGATTGTTTTCTGTCCCTTTTAGTGTAACAGTCCTTATTAACCCTTTTGCACCCATTTGATTCAGGTCCAAAGGTGCCAGGAGTCTCATCTAGGGCAAGCATGACACTTTGCCCATAACTCACAGGTCACTTGGCCTTGTGGGGTTCACACAGGAGCCAATGACTCAACACTGACGCAAGGTCTTGGGAATGGGGACTTCGCTACAGACAGGGATGAAGCTCGCTTTGCCAGCAACTCTTCAGTCTCCAGAGCAAAAGCACTGTGTCTTTCTTGCTTCTAGTAATCTTAGCAAGAATATGTGTCACAGGCAGGGAGTAGGAGATTTCATTATTTCCTGGGCAGAAGGTACCATTTCCATCTCTTTAAGTTTGATTCAGGCTGGATTGGTCTGCAGTGAAACGGGACAGACATAGGAGGGCAGAGAAAATGTCCCCATCATGGTCACTGCTTGGTGACAAACACCTCTCAGCTCTTCCACTGGAGGAGGGGACTCTCTTTCTGGGGACAGACAAAAAAGGAGGCACAAATTTTGCTGAGACTCACCCTGGGGCAGAGAGCTGGCCAGAGCCACTCAGATCCCAGGTTCCGGGCTTCTGCTAATGGCCAAGGTCACTCGTCCATTGTACCTCCAGACCCCTCGCTTCCTTCACAGCCAAGGCAGTGGCCGTTGAAGCCCTAGACCGCCAGGCACAGGTGTGGGGAGCACAGCTGCAGCCTGGCTTCCTACACGCCTGTCCTGATGCCATAGTGACCCTGCACAGTCACTCAGCTGGAGGCCCCCCTCTCCTTGCCTATGGCAAGGGCTGGTGATCTCACAAGGCTGTCGAGGCGGCATGAGACAGTCTGTGAAGGGCACCTAGCTGGATGCCTGGGGAACGCTGGCCGTTTCCACCAGGAGAAGGATGAGAGATGCCACCACCGTGGATGCCTCTCTGCCCAGCTCCATTGTGTTT